GAGGGAGGGAGAGGGAGGGAGGGGGAGAACTCCATGTAGGGTTTGTAAGGTTAGGGCGGAGGTTTTAAAACTTCCGTGTCAGATACCTAAAAGAACTATAAACTCTATAATTCCCTGCGCCCGAACACGAAACCCCTAAACTCTAAAAAAACATGTCTAACCCTGAACCCTAAGTCGTAAGTCGGGCTTCAGCCGGCGCTCGGTGTCGCCATCGCCGGGGCCCTGCAGAGACCGAAGCGGGCTTCGTCTAGAGTTCTGTACGGAATCTATGCAGGGCCGGAAGATCAGGATGCCCTGTTCAATGGCTATTATCGCTGTTTCGGAAGGGTTCCAAGAAGAGTTGTTGTGTTACCAAGGTATTGGTAATTCAATTAAGGCTCCAGGGACTTTAGATAGGCATCAGACCCAGGATTGCAAGGAAGGTTCTGTCATTGGGGCTTGCCTGCCTGCTAAAACCTGGGTCTGGGTTTAGCCGAGTTGAAGGTGCACGCCTCTTTCCGCGCAAGCATGTTGTCATGCGTTCTTGTGCAAAACATTTCAGTGGCGATACGTATAACCATGATCAACATCATCACCACCGCCACAAAAAACATCTTGTCAAAGGGTCACGTCAACGAACCAGCTTGGCGGGCCTCCGAAACATAGCGGACCCCAACTGCCTCAGGCCATGAACCATCTCACCGATGCATAGGCCTTGTGTCCGGGCTTTAGGGGCCGTGTGAGCCCTGGATCCGGACACACAGCACCTCCGAGTGCTGCAGCGCTCATCCCTGCTTCCCAGGGTGCTCGAAAAGGATCCATCGCTGGAATCCGCATGCTTGAAAACTCGACTCGAGAATCTGTGCTGGCCAAGTCCCGCCTGCTGCTTTATTTTTGTCGTGGTCTTGGGTATTTGCCCATGCCTCCATAAATACTACTCAGGCTTTTCTTGTTATTGGATGTTAAGGGCTCGTGGGTTTAGGATTTGGCGTTTCGACTTTTTGTTAAGCAAGCACAAGCGGCCTGCAACACCCAGCAAACACGAATGGTCTTTAAACTCGTCGAGGATTGGGTTGAGGTATGCGGCAGTGTGGCCAGGGGAGAGGGGTAGGCAATTAAGACTTCGTGACCGTATGACATACTCAAAACACTAGCTCTACAGCCACGACGTATTAAGCCTGCAACTGTAATTTGGAAAAATAGTGGGTTAACATCCTCAAAGTAGGATCCTAGCCGCAGAAGCCTCTGGAAAAGGACTCCATATATTCGGAAAACGCTTCCCTGCAACAGCCTCGCCACTGCCCAAGATGCGCCGCACGTCTTGCGCGATGCAGCCGCCTGAGCATCCAACACTCACTTTCCGACCACCCGAGTTGGAAGCCTGAAATGCCTGAACACATGTACGGTCGGACACTGGACCCGAACCACCGTACGAGGCTTTATATTGACCCTGATTACTAGAACTCCCCGTCCTTCCTGAGGATAGGAACAGGGATCCGAATCAAGAAAGACTGAAGGCAGGAGGTTGCCTAGTCCCAAACTTGCTGTATAATTACGCCCCTGGTTGCGGTTGCATGGTTTCCCTGCGGGTCCAGATGCCCAATAATCAAGCCAGTGGGTGTCGGGGTGCAAGGCTATACGGGTTTACACTACGCCAACCCGACCGTCCCGTAAATCCGAGGCGCCTGAGTAAACAGATGTTGCCTCCGAGCATACCTCGAGCTGCGTGCTTCAATTAGGGTAAATGAGGTCTCCATTGTAGTTCCCCTTGTTGGCCTAGGATCCTCTAAGGTAGCCCAGAAAAAAAGGAACCACAACGGAGGTTCAGGAGTTCAGGGTCTCAAAGCTCAAGGGTTTAGGGCTCAGGGTTTATCGAGTTTCCGAGGGCCTGAGCGTTCGGGGTTCTCGATGGGGTGCCGGAAGCCGGTTGCTCAAGCTCGCCGGGAAAGGGGCATTATTTGCGGTCTCAACGACTTGATGACCTGAACAAGCTGTTGGGGTGTTGTGCTATATTGATAAAGGAATGCGAGTACCACTGGTTCGAAGCCTTATACGACCAATGCCAAACAAGAATCAATGATCAGGGGTTGACTTTGGCCATCCGTGACTCTTACACCTTGTTACCTGCCCAGCTGTGGGCTGCAAATCTAAAGCTTCTCCACAAAGCCGAACAAACTAACCCAAAACCCCATACCCATGACCTTGAATCTTGAACTTGAAGCTCTAAGTCCTGAGCCCGAATCCCGACAAGCTATTGTACCCCCCCCCCCCCACAAAAACCTCTAGGCTACAGTTGAAAATACGGGGACCCCGTGCACTTTCGTTATGTATCTATGATGAATACTGTAGGTGAAGATCAGTGCGAACGCCTCACTCGCTACCAACCTTTGGCTCGTGGTTAACACCCTGTGTCTTGCTACACGTGTATCCTATACCACGTAAATAACTGATTAACAGCTTCAGCTTCGCGGTCACTGTGGTAGGCTCGGCAAAGCCTCTCGCGGCCATATTTCCGTGTGCGCACCTGCCTTGAGGTTGTACTTAAAATCGCATCACAGGAGCCCCAGGCCCTACCATTCACAACTTGCACGGACTTAACAAACAGCCAGAGCCAGGCTGGACTTGCACTAGGCTGGACTTGCACTGATGTATAAGGGATGGCGTTGGGTCACAAGTCGTTTGCGACGCCCAGGATACGGCCACAACCCCAACCGGTCTCGTGGGTTTAGCTGCCGCGCTCTTCTACGGACGTCGTCCAGGGTGTTCTACTTCGCGCAGTGACTCCGTGCAGGCATATCTGCAGGCCCCAATCGGGGATGACACGTGGTGCGTGATCCCCGCCGAGTTACGGCTTCCTTCATGGCTTGAGCACTATCCGCCAACCACTAAAGTTAGTACTCAGGTTGAACAAAAGCCTGTATGGATATCCTGAATCAGGACAACAGTGGCAGAAAGGTGGGACAGCGAGTACTGAATACCCATCCACATGGATGTTCAGATGCGGCGGTCGAACGCTCGTCGTACTAAACGTGTACGCAGACGATCTTACACTGAGTGGGCCCACTGAACTTCATGCGGCATTTTGGGCGCAGCCTCGCAAGAGCGTTAAGCTAAGTTAGACCCAGAAGTGTACATTCAGGGGTTAAAGAGGGCTGCAGGATCCTTGGTAGGCAACACAGCTTCACAAGAGATCAGTTCACTGCAACATGTGAGTTTGACATGAGAAGTTATGCCACTCAGCTGGTTGAGTTCTACGAGTACTGTGAGATTGCTGGGGTTTCGCCAGAAAAGCTCAGGCGAGTGCCGTCACCGGCAATACCCGAGAGGCAAGCCACTGATTCCGAACTTGAGTCCGGGGGAGAACTTCGCAGCTCGGCATCACGTGTGCTCATGCGAGCTCTCTGGCTCAGCCGATTGGCACGCCCAGACATATCATTCATCGTCACCCGTCTGGCTTCAAGGGTCAGAAAGCGGACGAAGTTTGAAGATCGTCAGCTGTTCATTGTTTCGCACGCTGTGTCTTGTTACACATGTATACCACGTAGATGACTGCTACGGAACACATTGGCCCCTCCAAAAACATCCCGTGACCTAAACCCAACCCTAAACCCTGCACCCCTACTTCTAAAAAACCACAAAGACAGAGAAACCCAAAGCTCGACTGCCAAGGCTGCACCCCACTCTGTGGCGAGATGCCACTTCCATGGCGAAGATGCTATGCCTCAGCTAAGCGATAGTCGGGAGGTATTTTTCCGGGGCGAGTTGGGGGTCTATGGAACTACGGTTTCCGGTTTCCGGTTTCGAGTCCAGGCTTCAGGGTTGAAGATTTCCTTGCGAGTTTAGGGTTAGGGGAGCAGGATTGGGGGCAAAATTAAAGTGCGTCCTGCTAGTGGACGCGCGTTCAAGATCGAGGATCATGAAGAACTGTAACAGTGAGATTTTCGCTAACCAAGAAGCATAGCTTTGCCAACCTTTTTCGTTTTGGTTTCTGGCTTCGACATTCAGTCAGGAACTAAGCATCCTAAATGTTGCAGCTTAAAGTCACACATACCCTACCTGTATACATGCATGCAGACATACATACATACATACATACATACATACATACATATATACGTACGTACATACATACATACATACATACATACATACACACATAGATACA